ATTAATAAGTTCATTTAATTCATTTAGCTTGGTGAGTAATTCATTCAATGAGTTGAAAATTTCACTCATTTTACAAAGTAATAATCACAAAAATTACAGTGAATCAATTTTACTAAATAGGGGTAAAATAATTTTATGCATACAGTCACAGCAGATGAACGGGATACATAATAATAAGAAAATTTATTTACTTTGCCACAACGGATTTTTATGTTTTTATATGTGAACCGAAGCCCAATAAAATAAAAAGACTAATTTATAATGCACGTGCAGTCAAAAAAATGAAAACTAATTTTTACTCCTTGTAGAATCTCCCGTAAGATTAATTGAATGAGAAAATAATGTTATTTATTTTATTAAGCATTTTCTTCAAAAGGAAAAGATTTTCAAAGGAAAATTTTAGAATAAAATCGCATAACTTTGAATTCTTATAAATCCTTAATCTACTAATAATTTTTAATAAAACTCTCTCTCAGGCTATTCTTTGAGTCACAGAGAAAAAAACTATGGTAACTTTTTTACTCTAACTTGTTTGGTTATTGAACCTATACGTTTCAAAGTTTAACAGTATTTTTAACGTTTTGGATGATTTTAAAAAAAACTCTCTGTCACCATGTGGACCATTTACTTTTTATATCTATTTCTTATTATTAGATGAATAAATGATGAATAGTAGAAGGTAGTTGTTCTATAATTATTGTTAAATTAATAGTTTATATAATATATTTTTTTAGAAACAAGATAGTCGTTTTATAACTATTGTTAAATTAATGATTTTGTATAATATATTTGTTTTTTCTTGTTATTAGGTGTGGATAATAGAAACAGAGTGGTTGTTCTATAATTATTATTAAATTAATGGTTTTGTTTCCTTAGGACATAAGCAAAAGAAACAAGGTAAGTCGTTTCTATAATTATTGTTAAATTAATAAATTTGTATATCTATTTCATAGATAATAGAAATGAGTTAGTTCTATAATTATTGTTAAATTAATAAATTTATATATTTATTTCATAAATAATAGAAACAGGGTAGTTTGTTCTTGATTATTGTTAAATTAATGGTTTTGTATTATTAATAAAATTTGCTTCCGATATCTACTTGATAAAACTAACCCTCTTCCCAATATTAAATTTTTGTGTAATATATTCAGGCCAATCAATTTTTCTTTTTTGTGTAATCTGATCGACGAAAATCATTACCAATTATAAGAATGTCACCATGCTGATGTCACGTAAAAATTAACTGATTGGCCTAAAAACCTAAAAATCACAATAAAATTGTTATCGCCCACTTTAAAAAAATTTTTCATATAGCAAATAATTATTAAATTTATGAATTACAATTTAGAATTTATTTTCACAATGAACAATAGAATTATTGTATTATTACCCATTAGTTGATGTTGATTTTGATTTTGATTTTTTTTCTTATGGTGAATGTATTTTCAAGTCATTTTTCATGACAAATATGTATGGAAAAGCGCTCTTTTCATGTATAATTCCATACATATTCCATACATTTTCTGAAAAAAAATTTTATAGGGCAATATCTTTATAATAATATATATATTACCGTATTCTTATTTATTAATTTTAATAAATCATCTTACAAGTATAGTCTAATCCTTGCTTTGTAACAAATGAATACGTCTTGCATGAATTACATCTTGCACCATGAATTGTATCTGCATCACATCCTGCTTGAATGATTCAATTAAATCTTATTATATGTACCATAATTATAATGGGAAAAATAAATAAATTAAATTTACACTTTAAATATCTTTGTTTGAAATCCTATTTAAAGTAATAGTGTGAAAAACAATAAATAAATTAATAACTACTCAAAACCTAAAATTGTCTGAAATGAATATTACTTAACTATTGCACCTAAATTTATTATCCCAAAAGTTGAAATGTGTATAACAAATGTCCAACTCCATGTCAAGATTTTCTTAAAGTGTTATTTGTTTACCCTGGCAAAAAATAATGGTTTTTTCACATACTTTTTATTTTTTATAATTCAAAGAAATGATTTGATTAAATTGTCAAGTTTATGCATGCAAGCATGATTTTTTTCATATAAAATTCCATGTTGATTGAAAAAATTTTATATAGTGAGTTACACTTGACCCAGTAATAGTCGCGGGTCACTGCGTAACTACAGGGGTTAGAAAATTGAGTGCGTTACATAAAAAAGATGCACATTTTGATCACCACCAAAAAATTTTTTTTATTTGTCCATATGACTATTCAAAATACTTGTGCTATTCAATGACTATTTGAAATTCCATCTATTACCAAAAGTATTTTGAATATTCATAATTCTTTTTGGATATTTGATTATTTAAAAAGGGATTAATGATCAGAAACACCATTTTATACCATAATCCTGTGCATGACATTCAAACAGATGAAAGTATTCTCCCAAACCTTTCCAGATCCAGCAAGATCCAGCCACTCATGATGCCTTCATTAAGGTTTGAAAAAGGAAAGTAAATCTGTGAGCAAGATAAATTAATTCAACAAGCATATGATTTCATAAAAAGACCTTTTTCAATAAAGATTTTCTCTCACACCATTGAGCCTCTGAAAAAGCTGAAAGTAAATGATAGCCATAGGTGAAGATGATTGCAAGAAACTGGATACATATATAGGAAATCAATGATCACACAAACCTGTTGGCTAATCAGAAATTGATCAAAGTAATTCACAATCATATTTCATCAATTTCAGAGTTTTTTCAAGGGTCATAACCAGTTCCTTCTTTATACCTTTTATATAAATTGTAACAATTTTTATCTGTCATAATGCCTGGTAAAATTTTTATTTTAACAATCAATCATAATATTCAGAGATTAAATGTTTATTGGGTGAGAGTGTATAAAATGTTTTGGACAAGGATTCAGGCGGTGTACTTATCTTGACTTTCAAATCAGAAGAATTAGAGACTTGAGATTCAGTAGGTATACCGTTTTTAGGAAAATGGTTTATAATATCCTTTATCAGGCAGGCTCTATGTAATCACTGGCAGAAACAAACAAACTTATTTTTGCAACCCTATAAAAAATTTGGTATGGAAAAATGTGAATTTCAGGTAAAATTCCATACTAATACAGTTTTCCATACATTTTCTGTACCAAATTTTTTATAGGGTATAATCATGTGATACAACCAGTTTATTGTTTAATAATAAGAATATATTTGAATTAAAGAAAAAAAAATTTTTATTTCTGCCAGTAATATGTCAGACCTACCTGACAACAAGAACGAATCTAGATATCAGTTAAATTTGAAATTGCACTGCACTACAAATTATTGTTTGAATTTTATTTATTCCTATTCCCATATATAGTAATGTGTAAATTTTTTAGCTCTGAAGGTTTTCTGATGCAAGTAATGTCAGGAAGAAGTAATTTAATTTCATTATATATCAATGTTCTTGCTGATCAGGCATCAATTTTATTCATAGACTTGATATCCTAATTCGATCCTCATATGTTTTAAAATACCAACACAAAATCTCTTTTTGTCTAAACTTCATTGCCTTGTTGTGCTGTGATCTTACTGGATACTGTTAAAATCACTTCTAAAGAGAGTTCAAAATCTGTACATCAAATGATTTATTAACTTCAGTATTATTATCTTTGGCACAGATGGACAAATCTTGTATCAAGCCTTGTTTACAGTTTTATCATAAGGAAATTTTCGACTGACAGAATTGAGAAAATTATTACACCATCATCACTTTGAGTGTCTTGTTCATTCTCAATAATGGGCAATGGATAATCAAGATGAAATATCCAAGTTTCCATATTGTTTGATCAGGCAAAAGGGAGAGAGGATGATCAGTACAAAATGTCTTGGTTTTCATCCTAATTAATGAGAATTGATGTTGCTTCTATACTAAATTCAAGACTAGAATTAGTTCTGGAAGAAGAATCAGAAATCTGATGCTTCTCATCAGCATGAGCAGGCACATATGTGCCATCACTTTTCTCAATATTTGATAAGTCAGAGTTTTGAGGCAAAGCTTTTTCTGATTTAATCTAGATGGCAATAAGGATCAGTCTGAATTTGATACACAATATCTTTCTTTGATTTTTTATCATATTTTAAACAGCCAGTACTGTTTACTAAAATAAAGTATATGGACTGCAGATTAGCCTAACAAATTCCATTTTAAGAACAACAGATTCCTTGCATTTGGGGCATAAAAGCAGTTTTACACTAATAATCTTTTGGTAAGAGTTCCTGAACCCTTCCACTGTGTATCTTCACTCCCAGGACAGTTTTGCCTGATGAGATTTAGCATGAATTGTCTTATAGATTCCATTTATTTTCTATAATCAAATTTCTACTATATTGTTTTTCTATCTATTGCTTTTGAGATTGTTAAATATTGTGATCCAATCAAAATATCTCTTATTTATACTTTGAAATCAATGAATACATTTGTGAAAAATGCGAACAAGAAGCAAGGCAATTAATCAAAGGAAAGAAAACTTTACTCGCCATTAAAAGAATGAGATAATTAATCTAGAAAATGAAGCAATTGTATTTAAGCAATGCCAAATAATTAGAAAAAAGAAAATGTGAATAAGATTACATTTTAGAACAAGGATTATTATTATGATACTTTGTATAGCTGGTTACTAATGTTGCCCATATATCACAAGTTTGACAAATTCATCAATTATCTTATCATCATGCATTTTATTAAACAATTGAAGAATATATATTTGTAAACCATTGAATGTATTTGAATCTTTGGTTTTTTATTCCTATTCCTATTTTAAGCCTGGGCAAATTAAAGTATACATTGGATGATGAAAAAAAGATTAGCTTACAATTTTTAGTTGATAACATAGTGTAGAATTGTGGATCTCTGATTATACTGAAGAGCATTTATCTTTTGGCAAAGTTTTTATAAGACAAAGATAATCATAAAAGTCCAATATATTTCTTGTAAAGGAATGTTTACAAATATTATTTGTTTTGATTGTGGAGAAAGGATGGTTTGTTTATTGACTCTAGAAGAAGGATTAGAAATATTTCATGTGGCAGCTTTGAAATTTATCTCATGGATGCACAGAATATTTCTGGATTTGCATATTAAATAGCAAAAAAAATAATTCTGTGAAAAAACTTTTTGACAACAATTTATATGAATTCGAGTAACTGTCTATGTATTAGTATCAAATGTTTGTAATCAAAAAAAATGGGGACTAGAACTTAAATGATGTGCTGATCACTTCGGTGATCGGCGGCTTTTTTATTTTTTTTCATTGGTTTTGTTTTCTTGTAATTTTTAAAAAAAATTTTTTTGAACGCTATTTTTCCAAATTTGGAAAGTCATTTACCAAAATTTTTTCATACAATAAGGAAGCTTGGCTTCTCTCTCGATTTCTATTTAATATATATATAGAGTGTGAGTCTGAAATCTGTAATAATAATCAGAAAGCAATCAATTGAGTGGGTACAAGAGCATTTTTTTTTTTTTACGAGCAACATCACAACAAGCTTGCTATAAATACTTCTCTTTGCACTTGGTCAATACTTGGTGTTTCTTGTTATTTTTTTTTTGTTTAAAAAGAAAAGATAGATAGAGCAAAAAAAACAAATAAGGGTTCTATCTACTTATCTATATATTTATATTTATTTATTTATTAGCTCAAAACTGATTGAACAAAAAATTATTTATCAAAATTTATCAAAAGGAAAAAATATTAGTATCATTTGATTCACTGACTGACTATCTCTTCTACTACAAATCTGAAAAATTAAATATAAAAAGACAGGATAAACATGCCAAGTGCCGGGGTCAAAATATACATCGGCAATCTGCCAGATAATTCAAATCAAGAAGATATCAAGGATCACTTTTCGAAATATGGTACTGTACTTAACATGGAACTTAAAGGAAACTACGGATTCATTGTAAGCGTTTTCTCCTGTGTGTATGGTGATCACAATATCATCATATATTATCTATATCTATATATGTTTATATATATATATATATAGTGAGCAGCTGCTAATTTGCAAAAAAAAGAGTTTATTATGTGTGTCCAAAGGATTTCTTGTTTATGTGATTTCTCCCTTTCCCCTTTTTTTAATTGTTTTTATTTAAGAAATCCTTTGGACTCATATAATAGTGAACTATTAGAGAAACTACAAATATGTATATATTTATAAAACGGTATACATTAGTACTGACATTAATGAATCATAAAATCAATGAATAAATTAAAAAAGGAATATGAAGATCGTCGCATGTGTGAAGAAGCTATCAGTCAACTACATGGTACAGAATTCAAAGGTTCTCAACTTCGTGTAGAATTTGCTCACGGCGAAAAAAATGGAAACATTAATTTTAATAAGTACAAAGAAAGCAAATCTAGTGACACATGTTTTAAATGCGGACAAGTTGGTCATTGGGCAAGAGAATGTCATAGGTAAGCAACAATGCAAACTTGAACAAGAAAAAAAATAAGGGACAAAAAGCCACTACTGCTTTATTTAGATCCGGAAAATCTAGTAGTTTAAGAAATTAGTCAACTTTCTTCAGATTGAAATATCGCTGTTATTGATGTGTTAATTCATGATTAAAAATGATAATGATAATAATAATAATGTTGTTTCAAAGTCATCATCAACTTATTTAAAGAATTGTCTCTCTTACAAGTTGTGAGAAAAAAACAAATTGTTCATCCTCTAAGAAGAAATTCTGATGCATTTAAACAATTGATGTCATTTAGTAGTAACGTTCGTGAGTTTGGATCTCGTAAACCTGGTGGTAATCGTTATGAAGATCGTCGTAACAATGAAACATACACTAGAGAGCCATACAACAACAGAGATAACCGAGATAAATATGATAGAGATGAACGATATCCTCCTCCACCTCCTCTTGAACGTGGTGGATATGAACGTCCTTATGAACGTTATGGAAGAGGCGAGCCACCTGATGTTGAGTACAGAAGAGAGTATCGAAATTATGATAGACCTTATGATCGAGAAAGAGACAACAGACCCTATGATAGACCTTATCCGGAACGTGACTATGAGCGCTATAACAGAGATAACTATGAGAGACCGTATTATCCACCACCTCCACCACCACCACCACTCAGAGATTCTAGAGATGGGTATGAGCGTGAAATATATGATCGTAGACCTTTACCACCTCCAGATGTTCCTCCATATCCTCCTCGAGGTAGAACCGGTTCTCCACCGCCGCCGCCACCACCTCCTCCACGTAGAGGTAGTTATGACAGGGGAATAAGGTATTTATCAATCAGTCAATCAATCAATCGATCAACTATATATATTTAAATATGTATCTATAAATGAATCTATATGCTTTATATTTATAGAGAAGTAGCACCCTTACCTTATCGTGGACGTTCTCCATTGCCTCCACCTAGATATCCACCTGATCCAATGTTTGGTCCACCATCCATCAGACCACCACCATCTCCTCGTGGTCCTGTTTACAGGTAACGAATAATTATTTTTATTTGATAATATGTGTGTGTGTTATAAATATAATATTAAAATTTAATTGGATGTTTCATTATTAATTATCAATCCAACTATTTTTTTTTTTTTTTGTAAAAAGACGACGTTCTATGAGTCCTATAAGGGGTCCAGGTAGCGGTGGTAGTGGTGGTAGAGCCCCACTTATTTATTCAAGTCGCCCACCTAGATCACCTAGTCCTCCTATACCTAGAAACATTCCTGCTAGACGTGGCGGTCCAAGAACTCCAACATCTCCTAGTCATTAGGTCAAGATATAATTATAAACATATAATAAATCAAACGATAATTTAAAACTACATTCGTTAAATAAATTTATTTCAATTGATTACCAATTACAAGTTAACATACATATTACCAAAATTTTATTACGAAAGAATACATACAGCTCAATTAAATCGATGCGGCATTATAAAAATTTAGAAAGAATATATAATAATTATGAAATAAAATGTTTCACAAGATTGATTGCGTTGTATATAAATTTTGATCATGATCATGGTCATGGTTTGTTGGTTTGTTATCAGTTTCTTTTTCTTATCCTCCTGAATTTTTTAAAATGTTAATCTGACATTATTGTTTTTGTTGCACAATATAACAAAACAAATTCGACTTGGCCAGATATGCTTAAATAGAAATATCACATTAAAATTTTTGTCAAACGTAAAAAATACTAATACGAAGGCATAAACTGTGAATTTGGTTTTCTTAGAATGTCGTATACCTCAACTTACTATCAAGTCATGCTAATTTTAAGCGAACTTGCACTTGTTTTTTTGCTTAGAAGAACTTGGATGGTAAAATAAGAAAATGTAAAAAGGCTATTATAAAAAAACAAATAATGAAGCATATAGGATCACCATTACCTTATGGAAGAAGTTGATTCTTCATAATTATTTTATATATTTGGTAGGTGGGTAATTTACATTATACAAAATATTATTATTTTGATTTCCACAATTAATACAAACTGCCAATTGTATATATAATAGTAAAAATGACAAATAAAATAAATAAAAAGATATAAAATACAGGATAGATGTTTATTTTTTAGTAAGGCGTCTTAAATATGCAAGTTGTCACAAATGAAAAAGAAAATTGTTCTCTGAATTGACAAAATGTGATGCTCGTGAAAGCTGTTGAATGATACAGTCAGTTATTTACGTCTATGAAACCCAAATCAGCGTAAATTATGACGGATATTTTGAAAGTCGAATAGACCTATGTTAATAAGAACAATGCTCTATTAGATGCCAAACCTGTTTTTTTAATCAGGAAAGCTTGGACATTGACATGATCAGGATTCTCAGTAAATTCGTTGGCGTTGAATAAACAAATAACTTGCCATAAGAGCAATAAGAGCTGTGCCGATGATCGATCCCAGAACTATGACTCAAGTCCAGCCATTGAGAGTCGAATATCGGGAGTTGATGTGGTGGTAATTGTGATGATGGTGGTGGGATTTAATAAATTGAAAATTTAAAAGGGTGCAATGAAATTTAGATTTGCATGTATAGGAGAAAATGACCCCAAACTCAATATACCCAAATAGATTCACTTGCTCAATCAATTTGAATCGCACTGACATAAGATTCAGAGATCATATTCCATTTTTGAGGATGTGTATTAGAACAACTTGGATAATCTATTAATAACAATTATTATTATTTGCATTAGATATGAATACCACAGGACAACACATCAGATGGAAAATTTTTGGTTATCCCTATTATTGCTTTAGGGTCAAAAATAAAAAAGGGGGATTGATTGATAGGAAAGAATATTTATGTGTTTAAAGACTAACATAGTATTAAGTCGGAAATTGTCACCAACCTTCCCAATACTTCCAGCCGGCTGGCATTTTCAATCAATTACTATATTACAATGAATCGAATTAACGAAAGAATACGACGAATTTAATTTGGCGCAACGTATTTTAACGTAAAGAAGATTTTCGGTTTTTAAAAAAGAAATTTTCGAAAAAAAAGAAACTTTGTTACGAAAATGATTGCGTTGTGTATATAAAGTCAGTTGACATTAACGTTAAAGTCAACATTTGACGTTAATGTTGATATTGGTGTTGATAGTTAACGAGCCAAGTTAAATGCTGCCAAGCTTTTTTAAATGGATAAAGTTCTATTTATAATGATAATAAAAAAAAAAAAGATGTCGGACCAGTAAAAAAAAAAAACTTAATCCGACTATGAATTGATTGGTTTCGGTGTTTACTATACATTCCTTCCATCCCTTTGATTGTATAAATAAATTTATTATTTAGAATTAAACTTTAGTTTAAGAAGCGGCTTCTAATTCGAGTGATGAAAAATAAATATAAAATGAAGAATGCTAATATTAAAAGAAAAAACTGAATTAGAAAAAAACATGCCTTCCATTTTTTTATCTGCGATAATTGGAAGCTCTCTGTATAAATCACATTCAGAGGAAGGGGGATTGTAACGATTATAAAGCGGTCGACTTTGAGAAAGGCACATTGGTTTATTTTTTAGGTTGATATGTGTACGAGAACAACATATAATATGTATGTAAATTAATAATCATTAATTGATGATTTTTAATTAAAGTTTCGCAAAAAAATGCTCAAGGTGGGGGTATTAGTTTATTCAATGTCAACGTATGTAGTAGAACCATTGGAATAGTCACAAAAATTTTGAAGAAAATGTCAAAGTGACCTTCCCCCACCTTGACCAGCATCAGCAAAATCATTGTTCAAAAGAAGCACGCTACTTCAAAATTGATGATAAGAGAGCATCGAGGTAACAGTCCTCCCTCCGAAACGTTTTTGCCTCGACAATTCACAAGACACAAAGGTTAACCATACCACACGTAACTAAAGATGGAAACCGCAATTAGCTGCGATTCAATTTTCACATGCTTCAATCGCAATTAGCTGCAATTCAATTTTTATATGCCGCAATTAGTTGCAACTAGTTGCAATTAATCGAGGTGCCATCTTTACACCTAAGGTTGAATGTCGACGAGAACATATTTGCTGAGGGACAAGTATGCGTTACATTTGAAAATTGTATCTAAAGCAGCATTATAGGAATATAAGAGCTTAGAAGGATTAATGCTGAAGAGTTACAATCCATTTCAACTTTGTATTAATTTACCACATGAAAATTGAAATTTGGTGCTTGTGCTGCTCACTTTACATCAACATTAATATTAATAACAAATAATAACAGTAAAAAAAAACTTGCGGTTTTATGATACACAAACATGGCTAATTCCATCATCCATTGCTTTGAGCTGGAAAGAGCTTGAAAGGATTCATGCAATTCAGCAATCTTTGATGAGCAATCACACAATTATTCTAAAAAATAGAGTGCTTCTTCATATTCAGCACTTCATATATTTATATTATAAATTTTACGCATATTGCAATTTTTTAATAACAAGCCTGCTAGAAATAATGCTAAAAAAAAAAATACATCCTTTATTGTTAATTTCTCATCTCCAATAGAGTAGTAAATGAATGTTCTTACAAATAAATCATCCTCACGGATATCAACAACAACAATGAAAATAAGTAAAAACGAAGATATATACAGTTTGAATGTTATTAATTTATATAAGCCAAACCCTCATCATAAAGTCATAGATAGATAGAATGGATGCCGTAGAATTCTACAATGATTAGTTGACGGTTAAAGATCAATAATAATAACACTTTCAGTGTTTGCATAGATGGCAATAAAGCTTTTAAACTATTTTTGATGCGCAAAAATTTATTGGATGATTTACTTTTATTAGGATGCTAAATAATATTTTCCTTCATATTCATTCTTATATGATGGTCTTTAGGAACCAACTTTTTAATGTTTTACCATCTTTACGAGCCCCTTTTGAGAAATTAATGGTATGCGTATTGTCTTGTGTATGGTCGGCTCCGTATTATTTACGGATTAGGGAATTACGGAATGGAAGTTTAAAAACTGAAGTTACGTAAATAATTTCGGCTAATGAAGTTTATAAGATATTTGTTTCAGCATGTCTACCAAATATATATTCTGGTATTATTGTCATTCGCAAACAAATAGTTGATTTGTCCATACTAACACTAGACAAATTCTTGATACAAATCTTTTGTTCTTAACTTCTCCTAGAGGTTTTGAATTTGTATTAATTTTTTTTTTTTAAATTAAAAAGTAGTAGTAATGGCGATGGCATTAATATTAACAAAATAGTCACCTTTTGGAATATCAAGTACATATTGAGTTTCTTCACATTTCTGAGCGCTTCAATCATCCTCAAACTCAAGTAATAACGGTCCTTTTTTGATGGTGCAATCTCACTAGATAGAAGGGCAACAACTGCTTGTGAAAGCGTGTTGTTTCTGGGTACAATGCAAGGACAGGGTGATCTTTTGTAAATTCATTAGTTTTAATTTCCCCTTTATTTGCAATTGGAAGAACATTTTTATTTGGTACATTAAAATGTCTAAAAAAAATATATAAAATATATATATAGTAAAGATAAATTTGTCCGAGAATAAGAATAAAAAATGAAATGAAAATGGAAACAATGTATTACCTATTGGATGCCTCAAATTGATCTGCATCCACGGCCTCATAACTTTGACAATGGATGAAATTAATGGGTGCGATGTTGATAATAATAAAAATAAATAAAAAAATAAAAAAAAGATAAAGAAGATACTTACAGTTTAACCTCAAGTTTGTATCTGACTATAGTTGCCAAGATCCAGTTTTGTTCTAATGATTTGATCTCTGGCTGCTTGGCTGCAACCTAAATAGTAATTATTATTATTATTATCACCATTAAAATTTGTATAAGCGTAGTTAAATTTTTTATATAATCTCTTGATTAAATAATATTTTCTTACTATAGTCTCATTTTTAATGATGCTATTAAGTTTAGAATTTTCCCTGTTGGTTAATTATGAATGAAAATTTTTGAAAAACACCATTGTAAATTAATCAGTTGATTGATTGATTTTGATATTTAATACTGACACTGGTTTCTTTGACTTTTTAGGTGGCGGAGACGACAAAGTTACTATTCCTTGTCGTTCTTTTCTTTTTCTTTTCTGATTATTATTATTGTTGTTGTTGTTTTTGTTGTTGTTGTTTTTGTTGTTGTTGTTGTTGTTGTTGTTGCTATTATTGTTGTTGTCATCATCTTCACCTTCATCATCATCATCGTCATCATCATTATCATCATTGTTATTGTTATCATCATCATCTTTTATAATCAAATTACCTATAATTAATGAGTGGATGAGCAGGTGGGCCAGTTGATGAATAAATATCAAAAAAATTTTTATAAATTACCCGTTGTTCGGTCATATTCATTATCATGATGAGGCTTCATTAATAACAGTTTATCACAGTCACTTAGAATTATCTTGGTGATTCTTTTCAAAATTTATGTGTATATATATATATACATATATACATATTTAATAAATGTAAAAATTAAAAGCAAAATAAAAAAATAAATTAATATTTACTCTTCTTCGCAGACTGTCTGGTCTATCATATCAGCATATAAGGATTTAAGAGCTTCTTTGATTTTTGGTGCAATTACACCCGCTAAAATAATTTATTAAATAATAACAAATTAGACCGTATGAACAAATGTTAAAAAAAAGATTTAAATTCAAATTATTTACTTTGTTGGATTTTTTCATGGTAAGAGTTAATTTGATTGTTGAGTTCTATCTCTCTTTCTTCTATTTTTTCATACAATTTAATGTATTCATTAATTTGACTAATTAGATGATCTTCCTCTTTAGTATTTGAGGAAGTCGAAGAAAGTTGAATAAGGTTTTTTGCAAAATCCATTGTGTTGATTTTTTTTTTGTGAAAAAATTTTCTCAAGCGATTTTATTATTTATTATTGTTATCACAAGTTGGTACTTGTACGACAATAAGTCAATCATTAAGTAGTGGTGGTAGAAAGTATAATTTTTTAATTAAAGAACGTTGAGGTAATTCAATCTGATGACTTGGACTTCTAAAATCAACTCATAACTTGAGGATGTTGTAACTGATATGACAAAGAAATTTCCTTGAATAGACGGAATCCTAGACGATGATGAAGCTGATTATACGAATTGTTTAATTCTGATGAAACATCTGATCAAAGCAGAACCGAGTACAATGCACATATACAACAATCAATTGTTGATGATAATGGCATGCTAATATTTTCAAATTTGGCAGATAGATGTAAAAAACATGAAGCACACGCTTGGCAAAGCTTGATCAAAGCCTAATAAAAGATTACACACGATCAAGCAATCCATTCCAATTTTGAAAGTACAATTAGTAGTCGAAGTAGTTTATGCGAATTCAAATTGAAACGACAATTTGAAACAAACAAATTCAACATCCAATAATGTTACAAATGTCCCAGGGTCTAAATGACAAACAAGAACAAGGTTTGAACGACCAAGTGTAAACCAGATATCTTTTACGTATAAGTTTTCTATTTTGAGATATGAATTATAAATTATTGAAAAAAAAAATTTTTTTTAATGCGTTATTTTCTTAACAGCACCAGGAATTAATACTGCAAACATTCTGTTTACATCCAGCTGTCCCTGGAGATTATTATTTTGTCCTAGTTCATAGAAGAATTTATTTGGTAAAAATCATCGTAATGTATAAAAATGGTTAATGTTTGCATCCTTATGTTGACTCTCCCTCCAAATAGATACACTTACTATATTTCAATCAGGATTTGGCTTCAATTACAAAATTACATAATTTGGAGTTGATATAGGGTTTTAAATGAGGAAAGCTCAAGATCATTAATATAAAAAACTGTATAACTGGTGGCACGTTAATAAATTCTATGTGTGAACTGTCGTCCTGGTCGATTAGTAAATCGACTATTCTCAAAAGTATTTAAAGTATTTATAATCCAAGGTTAAATAATTGTTATTAATATAACATATTACATATAACAAATTTTAATTTAATAATTATTTAGTATTGATCCTAAACAATTGATTAGAAAAGGAATTATATAAAATATAATAAAAAAATTAATGGTTAAAGCCATTTAATATTTGCAAGAATAAGATTTATATTTTGATGATACCAATCTCTTGGTGATATTGACATATAAAAATCACTTCTAATTTTATTTTTAAATGATTTTTTATATAACCAGAATAAAGGCCAAAAAATTAACCAAAGACAAGTGAGGAAGCATAAAAACTTGGTCAAGCGATTCTCGGTAAATCTTGAAAATTTATGATCTGATTGAACTTTTACAATGTGATTTTTTCTTAGATACGTGATTTCTATATGATGGCGATATCTTTGGCGAATGATTGTTGATATTGCTCTTGTTAAAGATTCGTAATCCCAAATTATAACCTTTTTCATTATGATTTCTTTCAATTTATTTTTATGGTTAACATATTCATTAATAATCTCCATAACCTCTACATTCGAATCATTTGAATAAATTCTTCCATTTGGTAAAATGAATTCTGTCAAATCTAGCGTAATCAAGAAATCTGTAACCCGACGATCTTGAGGCATATTATGTGAATCACCAATCTGACTTGCTTCTTCATGATGATATCCATGTATTTTTATTGCCATTTCAGGCTTGTCATTATGTTCAATAATAAACCTATACAATGATTCTGGTTCTCTATTTAACTTTGAATCGCAAGACACAACACCTTCGGGACTTCTTTCAAAATTAATATCGGAAACGGTGTATTCAGGGGGGGATAGCATATTTTCTTCGTCTCCTTCTGGTGACGATGGTGTTTTACTAGAGCCATAACAATAATTTGTTCCTTTGTTTTCGTTGTTAAGCAAATGTCGATTCTCATTCTCTGTAACAGCGACAACAATTTCATTAGATGATTGAATGTTTCTTTCAGATGGATCATGATTGATTGCAGGGCAGGGGCAGGCGGTCATATGAGTGGGATTTATTGAATTTCTAATTGCTTCTTCATAACTTGGTGGTGATTGTTGTTGCAATTGAGAATTTGGATCATTTGATGACGACGATACAATATTTGATAAATATCGATTGTTATTATTTTGATAATGTCTTGCGTCGGAACCTGAGAATACGAAAACATAATCAGAATCTCCTGGCATTTCTGGGAATATAATGAATCAACCAATCTTCATATGTGGCTTTTTTCCCTTACATAAGAAGATCATTGCTTAAAATGAATATTAAATATCAAGTATCAACCAAGGGTTATAAATCAACCAATAAAAACATCATATTAGAAAAATGGAATGAGTGATCGGATTATAATTGTATTGCAATCGGGAATGGGAAAGTAATTTTTTGGTGAGGTTTGGATAGAATCGTTCATTCTGTGACCCGAGTAGACTCGCATTAATTGCTTAAAGTTTATTGTTATTATTTGAGCAATGCATTTTATTTATTTTATTTATTAATTTTTAAGAAAAAAGAAACATGTGCCAAATAATAACTGATATATTAAGAATATATGTGGGAAAGAAAAAAAGAAATAGATAAATGTTAAATAATTTTGTTTTCTAATTTAATCTGTTGTATCAATTAAAGCAAATAAATAATATTACAAAAAATCTTTTAAATGGTTAAAATTTTTTTGATTATAAAGAATTTCTAACATAGAATAAATTGTACGCAGCACGAGACTAGATGGAAATAAAAATAAAAAAATTAACATATATAAATATAATAAATAGAAATCAATCGATATATATGCAATAATAATAATAATAATATATATATATACCTTAACAGATTCTTCTTTACAAACTGACACACGACTATCATCAAAGTTGTGCCATTCATTTTTAAAACTATTTCGTACACATGCTGTATAATGTCCACCGTTCAATCCACCATAATGATTTGATACTGCATATAAATTGTATACAAAAGGTCCAACTTGTTGTAAAGAATCAATCAATGCATCCGAGTCAGTGGAATTCAACAACACCTTTTTACCAGAATTGTTAACGGATTGTGGTAATGGGGAAGGAACATATCTTGTTAAATCCAAATTTTTTAATGGAAAATCGATCAAGGTTTCCATTTTATCTCTAAATGGCCCTTTAAACGAAAATCTCTTGAGATGAATTAAAAGAACATCGGGCAATCTTGAAATTGAAAGACGTTTTGTTGCACGTTGATGTATTTTACATCTAGGACACTTCCATGCATCTTCTCCCTCCAAAACCTCCTCTTTAATAAAAGCATCTAAACATTCTAATAAATTAACATTTTTGTTGCCTGATTTTGATTTAGGAATTGGCAATGATAAATACATAAATGTATTGTAGGTTGTGGATGTTTTACCACAGGATAAACATTTCAGTTGATTTCTAAATTGTCCTTGGAATAAACTAACCACGATAGATGAATTGCGCATCATGTATCTATCCCATTCAAACACTGATGCAATTTGAATCGGAAGACCTTCCATGATTTCTTCTTCTTTCTCTGTTAATTCTTTAATAATGGGTTTAACTTTCACAATATTCAAATCCTCATGCAGCCCATCTAATAAATATGCAAGAAATTCTTGTGAATCTTGTTGATCAGTTCCTGAAAATTGAGGTGCAAAATCACCAATAGCTTGTTTAAATGTTACAGGAGAAACAACCGGATATTGTCCGCTCCATACCACTTTGATCAAGTTTGCAAATGCTATAGCTAAAGCACCTTTTGTGCCTAAAGGGTTAACTTTATTAATATGATTTTTGTAGCTTCCGTTTAAAAAGTAGCGAGCAAATGGAATAGTGCCGCTCAAACATTGTATGATCGAATTCATAAAACAAGTATTGCCAAGATTTTTTAATCCAGCAATTCCAATTCCTGAACTCAGCTGTGAAAAAGAACTCTCGGATGTAGGAAATCGCTGGTGATAATGACCAAGACCTGAAGATGGTCTGTTAAGTATTTCCATTGGTTGTTCATTCGGCACTATAAGAGATGATTTATATGATGGTGATGATGGTGGTGGTGGCGATGTAGGATTACCTCCCACCTGTAGTAATACTTTATTTGGCAAAGGTGGTGGTGACATTGTAGTGTTTACAGCAGTATTTTGTTTTTTTTGTGAACGTGTTGGTAAATAATCCGAGTTTTGAACATTAGTAAAACCATTATAAGGATGGTCAAAAATGGTTTTACGTCTTTTCAAATCAGTAGCACGTTGAGTATCTGAGAGCTCTTTCTGTGGATTTCTTGGTAAGCTTTCAGGTGATTGATACTGTAAATTGGCTGTTGATGACGGTGATGATGGCGATGACGATGATGGTGATGGAATAGGCATTTCAACACGAGATGGCATTTTTGTTGAATTGGTTTGTGAATAATCTAAATAGTTCGAATTGTAAGCTATTTGATCATGTCCGGTTCCAGTCATTGATTGTTTATAAATAACTCTGGGATGTTGAAACTGTTATTTGATTATTTATTATTAGTAATGATATTTTTACTTATTTTAAAATGACATAATAATACTTACGTAATCAGTTATATTTCTTGCGTATGATTGTTCGTTATGTAACGTGCTTAAATTTATTTAGTAAAGATTTTAATAAATGGATTTGTATATAAATCAATATCAGCGGTAATCATAATAATAATCATACCTTTGACGACTAAGAGTATCTAATAAAGGTAAACTATCATTTGGGATGATAATTGCGTTTCTTTTAGATTTATCATGGTTATTTGTTCTGGCTCTTGTAGTAGAAAGATTATTGATAGGACCTAAATCATATCCGTATTCGTCAACCTGATTACCTATATTTCCATCTTCACTGCTAGTAGACTCGGTGCCCGTCTCACTATATAAACGTTTCCAGGAAGCAAAGCCACCGTTTAGTAGTAATGGAGAACGTTTCAATTTTTTCATGTATTCATTTTCGTAGATTATGTTAATTAGATTGTTTAGGGTATTGGTTTGAGCCAATTTTGGAGTTTTGGATACAGAATCTTGATCATATAAAATAACTAATTCAAAAAGGTTACGATTTTTAAAAAGATCCTGTTCATTTTTTGGAGAAATTATTAATTTTGATTCCATGTCTAGCGATGAAACTCTGTTTAAACCACACCGAAAGAAACAATGAGAAATCATTAATTAAATTTAATATATAATATTTTAAAAAATAAGAATAATTGATATGTATAATTTATATTTATAATCTTACCCATCTTTTATGATGAGAGGATCTAAACATACAATATTTTTTGTTTTTATATGACTTTGATCAAAATCCTCCCTATGCCTAACATCAAACAATAAGATTTTTTGTGCAGTGTCAGGTTCTGTTAAAAGCTCATTCAATTCTGAAGCATTTATAGTTTCAGAATTGGGTGTTATAGAAAACTTGTATAATATGGAGTTTCTCGAAGATTCTTTTACATATGTATCAAAATTTCCTTCATTGTTAATATTAATGTTGTTATTGTTGCAAAATGAGTCATCGTTTTTCAAGTCAGCTTTAGTCTTTTCGATTTTATTTTTGTAGGCATCCACAGGTGTCATGGTGATTGCGTTAGGAGATTGTGTTGATGACGTTAAATTTCCAATCATTTTGTTTCCAACAATATACACTGGAGAAGAATCAAAAACTTGATTGGAATTTAGATTAGAATTTGATGAGTTGAATGAAGTAAAAGGTTCTGGCATTTTATTAATGCTATGTTCACTCTCATCTTTATCCAATTGATCTTGATTTTTTTGTATTAGAAGTGAAGTTCTTTCCGTCTCTGTCATGATATTAGGAAGTTTCTAAACAGCAATCAATACCATAAAAAAAATATTAAAGATATTATCATTCATCCAAATAAATATTTTTTTAATGGCTGATAGTGTAAAATAGCCTTACCTTTTTTAATTCATGATATGTTTTATATAGCACCGGATCATTTGCATTTTCGATTAATTCCTTGAAGTCTTTATGTCTTGGTAGTTTTTCAAGTATTATCCTAATTAATTAATTTAATTTATTAAAATTAAAAAAAAAGAAAACTTCCTGGATAAAAAATTATTATCCATGTATTTTTTATATATATCCTACATTCAAGAAATGGTTCTTTAAGAACTTACGAGCCAATTTTTATCCCATTTTTATATATAACTTCGTGGTTATTTAGGCTCGATGCTATATCAAACTATTGTAAATTCTTCATGTTAGAAAATAATCAAATGACTAGAATTCTACCATTATAAACTTGAAGAAAAAGGACATGCCTCTTCAATCAACTTTTCCGTTGCTTTTACCCAAACTTTTAATTTGTACTCATTCGGCTCATTTAGTACTTTTGCTTGTTCTTTTAATTCTGAAAGTTTAATGTGTGTGGTGGACATTGTTGATTATAAAATTTATACATTAAGCATTTCTTGCACAATTAATTTAATTGTTTGGTTATTTATTTATTTCAAAATTTTCAGGGGTTCGTTTGACCGGCCGGGATTTCTAAATACTGTAATGATCGATGATCTAGAAGTCTTTAAATTCGTTATTGTGTAATTCTGAAAACATTCCAGAAAAAAAAAAACAAAAATGGTTGGTTGGCTAAAATTTTATACTAACAGATCTTTTTCATAAGAAAACGAACGGTCAAATAATTTTTATTACATATATAATGTTACCATAGTTTATTAAACTGCATTCACTTTACCTAAAGATAATAAAATAATACAATATGGATTGATTGATTAATATAAAATTGTTTTCCATTTAAATAAATATGTATATACCAATACAGTGTGTTTCAAAAAAAAAAGGATGCGCATATTTCAACAATTATTATTATTATTATGCAACAAATCGAATAAATGAAAAAAATCTAATACAATAATATTTTGGCTGTTTCCTGAGGAATGGGATTAAGGTCAGGACTCTTGAATTCCCGGTCTATTACACAAATTCTTTTTTCATAAATGAAAGTTTCTGCAACGCGTGATGTGTGCTTTGGGTTATTATCATGTGAACAAGATATCCAATCATTCTTTGTCATGCGAAAATTTTTCCACTTTTAAAATGAATTCACATTTTGGCGCCTTTTTTTTTTTTGAAACATACTGTACATAAGGACATCAGGTTTCATGCAGTGGAACAAATAGCCAGTTCTAACATTATTAAAACTATAATAGGGTTGAATAAAGTCAGTAGCCACCATTATGGTTCCTAAAGCAGAACAAATATAACGAATTTATGAAAATAAAATTTATTTGCTTCTTATGTTTAAATTTCCATAAACAATCCTATTTCATAATCGAATAAATTAAACTAAAAAGTATTATTAAAAATTTGGGTGAATGGAATGGTTATATCAGCGAATAATTCGAATGAACGAATAATTCATATAGTTGGCTCGGTCTAAAGACCTCCTAAGTTTTGCATAATTTTAAAAGTATAGAAGTCACTTTCTGTCCTATCTTTTAAAAAAATAACATTATTAGTTGATAGAATAGGTCTTTAGTTTTAATGTAATAATGAGATATTCTCAAAAAAATCATTTGTTGTAGAGTT